TCCTAAATCACCTTGTCCTACTCCTCCACTCAAGGCCTCTGCGGCAAACTGGCGCAACGTCTGTGGTCCTACGGACACCCCTTCAGAAGTACCCTGGGTAGGAACGGTAGGGGTCACAGGAGGCAAAGGCAGAGGTCCAGGTTCAACCCGACCCAAAATACCCTGATGCATCCCTGCAGCCCCTTGAACCCGCTCCCTAAGGTGGTCCCGCGGTGATAGGTGGAAAAGGCGCCGTTGGACCTTGCTGAAAGTTTCCAAGTCTAGCACCGTAACTCTGACTCATCATCAAACTTCCAAAGGAACCTGGGAAATCAGGCGTAGCAACCGGATTCGCAGTCTGTACAACTCCTAGAGGCCCAGGAAAAACCTCTTGATTATTCTGGCCGACGGCAAACGACATTGGGGAAAATGGATATCCAGTCTCCTGAGGCGTGCCTCGGGTGAGTTGGCTATGCCAACTCGACTGAGACTCAGTCGTCTGTAACCTCTTCTTAACTTCTCGGTTCTCTTCCATAAACTGAGTCAGCAGAAACTCCATACGCTGAAATCTGTCGTCTTCGTCAGGCACCAGCTCACGAGGATCCGCACCAGCAGGTCCCATCCCAGCTCGTCGCTCTCCCATGCCAGATTGGCTGGGCGCAGAAGTCGGACTGGAAGCACCTCGGCCCTTTCCGCTAGGTTCACTTAGCTCTCCGCCAGCTCACCCAACAGCAATTTTGGTTGCATCTGCTCAACCCGAATAGGCTCTTGCGCTTCCCCTTTATCTCCAGCACTCGGTTCCACCCGAGCCACTCTCGGTGTCTCAGATGATCCCATAGCTGAATAATCCGGCTCCCGAGACTCCAATGCAGGAAAAGGATCTCCCAATGCAGTCTCATCTACCTCCTTCTGGAGCTTCAAACCATCCCCATCTAGTGTAGATGGGCGGCTCTTCAACAACTCAATTTCCGTCTTCACCCTTTCAGAATGAAACGAGCTCGCCACCGGTGGTTGATCGGCCAGGGAGGTGCCCACTGCAACTCCTTGCTCCACAGTGTTAGGTGAAGCATCCCCATTGAATGCTCCCACTGGAAACATCCCAGCGCCACCAGCTTGGCTCAAGGCTGTCTGAAAAACTTGGTCTCTTTCCGGATCAGTCAGACCCTGCTCGCTGGCCGGTGGATTCCTCCGCCTCCTCGAGACGGAATCCATGGCACCAACGACTACGGTAAGACCGACTTAATCCTTAATCAGCACTGAAGAATACAAGCCGTTACGGCTGATAACCTACGTGAAATCAATGATGAGAATGTTCTAGATCGACGATAAGAAGTGAAAGACCACACCTTAATGCAATGTTTCGATGGGTCTTTGCAACTGAACCCCTACGGGCGCTCACGATTTTTTACAGCCAAGACAGCCTCAACGTCCACCAGATGCATCTTCTGTACCTGAAGGGAATGACGCTCACGCACTTGGAGATAAGCTTGTCTGGGTAGCCAGCGTCGCGCGTGAACTTGTAACAAACATCTGCAAGTGACACCATGGTCCTATGCATGGAGGAGCTGAGCTGTTTGCATCTCGAGAATGCCCCGACAACGATTGCATGCTTCTGCTGCATTGGCTGTGCAGACACGAACGGAGCGCACAAGTTAGGTTTGTCGTCATACCCACATGTCAATCCTTTGGTGTGTGCTGACCAATGAAGCTGGCGTCCGAACATGAGCTCAAACCCAACGCACGGATTAACACTGTCAGGCTTCATGGGAAAATGGGGCGGGTACACATGCAAATGTCAGGAACGCATTGGATAGGTCAGTGGAGCCACAATGAAGACACGCACATCGTCCATGAATCGCATGCATGACGCATGTGATCCCGGCAATCTTGTGCTCACGACTTGTGGCGCAGGCGGATCCCCTAAAACAGCCCTCATTTCATGTACCACGAGAACCAAGCGAAACACAGCACCCCCAAGACTGGAACCCATGGTAATCCCTTTTGTTTGGCATCCATGCGCGTTTCCAAACCTGATGTGCATATGCTTACATGCAAACAACAGCACATGTCGGATTGCAAGCAACGGGATTCGGACCCATCTTCCATTTCTGGGGTGTGTCCATGATGCATGGGGCAACTGCTGGAACGATCCTGCCTGTTTGGCTTTGCAGGGTGATACCCATGCACTGGTGCAACCCTTACCAACCATGATGCCTGCGATCTGTTCCCATGCATCAATGATCTCAGCATGGAGCACATTCATGAACCCGTTTTCGATATCCCTCGACAACACAAAGACCCCATAATTGTGCAGTGCAGACAACGGTTCCCCCGTACCCAGCGGGTCACAACACAGTTGTTGAAGAAAGCTTGCAGTCGCTTCGTGGGACGTGCGGTCAAAGTGGCTTGAAGCAGGGAGTGTTGCAATGCACAACTCAATGCATCGCGCTACAAGCCTGAACAAAAGGGCTGTTGGGCACACACTCTGATCACCGAGAGGTCTGACACGCAATAAGTCCTTGTGCTTCTGCAAGATTGGCACGGGGGTCCAGTTTAGGGGTCGTTGACCTTTCATGCCCCTGACGACAGCTTTATGTGCAGCATTTAGCACATCAGGCTGCAGCCAATCACTGAGGCCAGGAATCTGTAAGCCTGACACCTGAAGCTTTGGAATGCTGTCGTACTGGAAAGTAGGACCACCAATTCCACGTGTTTTGCCAACAAAACAACTTGAAGGATAGGCACGACCGTCAAAGATGTAGGCATCATCAGATTTGCAATCAACTTGAACAACATCCCCAACCTTGAAAGCCGTTTGCATCACCCCCGTTATCGTGTGTGTGCACAACGGCTCTGTAATCACAAAGCGCCTACCCGGGACCCTGGCATCAGAGATGGGATATTCGAAAATGTCAGCAGCCAGTTCCCTAATGAGGCAGGGGCAAGCTGCACCAAATGCAGTGGGATTCTGATCAAGGACGTCAATGTAGAGGCCATCGCACATACGACGAATCTCACTGACATGCCTCATGCTAACAAACTGGCTACCCGCTGCATCTTTACGAGAAAGCCCCCACTCCAACAGCATCTGCTTCACAAAATGCTGGATGGTCGCATCCAGCTTGATTTTCGGAACGTTGTCTGAGTACGGGTCCTTTACTCTTGCAGCAAGCTGCAATAGGGCTTGAGTGATGTGGCTTTCAGCCCATTTCATGCTTGGCACAATGCGAGTCTGCACCGCCAAGCTTTTTAGATGAGCAAGATGTTTCGGCCACGGTATCTCGGATTGGCGGGCACACACATGTCCGCGCTTGCGGGGAAAATTCGCAAACTCGGGCCTGGAACAAATACATGCACAGTCAAACTCGGAATCCAAACATCTGTTGAAGCAATGTGCTGTCCGAATGAGCTGGATGATTGAAGGCAACGGCTCCCAACGAATTCGAAGCTTTAGCCTGCCATGGGTGAACAGCCCAGCCTGGAAATGATCATTCCAGAACAGGTGGAGCACAAACTCTTTCAGGATCGATTTTGTACATGAGATGTTACCCTCGTGGAGGCACCACGGTATGCGCACAGGACAGTGCCCAAGCGGAATTTGCAATTTTAGCTGCTTGCAACGATCTCGTTCGAGTCCCTGAGCTTCTTGCTCGGATCGCCAGCCTCTAGCAAGCCTGGCCGACTAGTCAAAGTTGAAGTCTCAGCGCTGGCAGGAAGTGCTGGGCAATCTGTGTCTTGGCAGCATGATTGACAGCAGCTCCGGCCGAAATGAAGTCTGCAGAGTCTGCAGAATTTGCAGCGCAGGGGATGCTCTTCGCAATCTTTGGCAGCTGTGGGGTTGGGTCCCGACGTCCCGTCTCTCATGGTTTTACACATCGGCTTCACCCCTTTGGCTGCGTTGCCGGAGCGCTTTCTGGTGCGGCTCCGGTCCAGCCGAGAAAGGTTCCCGGGGACTGGCTACTCCAGCGCCTTCGCTAGCCACTACGAGCTCCGCGGCGACTCTGCGGCGCGGCAGATGGTGATGGAGCCCTGGAGGCCTGGTCTGAGCCCGAGCCGCGATGTGATGATGTGAGCCGCCAAGTGTACGCGCAACTTGCTCTTCGTCTTCTCTTCTTCTCTTCTTCTTTTCTTCTCTTCTTGTGCCAAGATGAGAAGTCCGGGGCGAAAAGCCATGCAGATGGACGTTAAGTGCAGGAAGAACGATCACGACGTGTTCTTCTATGACATCGGCGAGTGCACCATGAAAGCCATTACAAGCCACTGGATGAGCGGATCGACAGAGAAGACTCAGGTTTCGTGCCCCATGAAAAAGCGATGCCTTCTGCCACCTGTGAATCAGCATGAATCTCAGCCGTCGCAGGCTCTCACTGTCGGCTTTGACCCTTTGGCCGAGTTTCTTCGGAGCTGGCAGGATGCGCGATGCCGCCGCGTGAGCGAAGGAGACGCCTACTGGAGGAAACATGAGGATGCCCCGGATGCCGACATAGACGTGGCCTGCACGGCTGGCACGGCCTCTTCTCTGCGGCCGCAGTACGATGCCGTTTCGGGCTGGTTCGTTGAACCAACGAGCGGCTGTACAGAGATTCTCTGTGAGGCGGCAGTTGGTCAGTTGAAGATCCTGCGCCTCCTCATCAACCAGGAGACGCCGAAAAGATTCATCCCAAAAAAACCCTCCCGGCTCCCGCCCTGCCGCCCTGTCCTCAGGACGGCGAGCCCGTCCGTGCCGCTCTCCATCTGCAACGGGGCAGCCCTCTGCACGAGACTTGGTGGCAGAGAGGCGCTGTCACCTGCGACGCATCGGTCACTCGCGCAGCCTCCGAGGAAGAAGTGGAAGAGTTCGACGTGACGCTACGGGAACTCCAGCCCGGCGAGCCGATGGTGAGCCGCTAAGACCAAGCGGCGCCGGCGCAGCCGTTGTCGCAGCGGCCTATGGCCTCTGCCTCTGCCCAGTGTACAGTCGTGCGCATTGGAAAATGGTCTGTCGAGTGCACGCCGCGAGTGCGACCAGCGATGGCCGGCAGGTGCAGAGGCACGGGTGATTGACGTCTGAGCGCCTGGCTCCGTGCTCCGAACGAATCTCCAATTTTCGGCAGTTCTCGTGCCACGTGTTCCATACAGTTTCACACCATAGACGACAACGCGCGCAAAGCACGACTCTGACCTAGCGGTTATTGCCATTGCTCCCTGCCAGTCCGGTTACACTAGCTCGGAGGATGCTGCAGAAGGCCCCTTTATTGATTTTGGCTGGAGCCAACCAGGCACATACGGTACCGAAGCCCCCCTAAAGCGCCCGTCCTTCTGGAAGGGGTTCTCTCGCAGAGGAACCCCCGAGCAGGACAGCTTCAACCCTTCCAGAAGGGCGCAGTAGTTCGAAGTGCCAGGGCCGCCATGGGGTCCTCGTCCTTTCTTTGTCTCTTTCCTCTTCTCGCGCTTCAAGATGTTTGGGCCGTCGCAGCGAGTTCGATGGCTTCAGAGGAGGCGTCCTTGCTGGAGATTCGCGGCAAGCGCCCCTCGGAAACTCTGAAACGAGATGCAAAACATCTGGCAAGTGAGTGCCAAATCATCGCACATTTCAGGTTCAGGCTCTGTGAAAAGGCCGCTGCTCGTGATCCACGCCGGGCTTCACAAGACGGGGACCACGTCGCTGCAGCGTCCGGGCTGCGGACAGGCAGAGAGTGGCAGAGAGAGGAAGAGAGAGACAGAGAGAGCTGGACCTAATAGTTATACTTCCACAGAGACAGGGGGACGGAAAGTGCTCACTGTAGCCGTAGTTTCTGTCTAACGGACTTTCAGCACCACGAACAAAGCGTCTGCAGTGAGCTCGAACCCGGGGCATAGCTATGTCACGTCTCCTGCCATTGCTACTATGGTCGTTTGCCCCTTGAAAACCGCGGGAGCAGCTCCGCTTGCACAGTTGAAGCCGAAACAGAGCCGGTGAAGGCCAGTCTGGGGGGTAAGTGATGTCTTTTACCGCCTTTCCGGCTTGTTGGTTCTACTGATGGCCTTCACCGCAACGCTGTCGACTACTGTGACGGTGCCGAATCACAGGAACGCACGCAGATTTGTAGACTTCAGTGCTTAGGTGCGACGTTGATGTTTGATACGGGGGATGAAATACGTGGCGATGTTGTATTCCAAATTCGTGCCGATGTCTTCATTCAGTCGATGTCATCCGATGCACACACTTGCCGGTCCAGCCTGCTGTTTCTAAACGAGCGTGGGAACGAAAATCACTGTGGCCTAGTTTGTCGAACTGAAATAGCCTTCAGCACCACGAGCAGGTACCAGTAGTCGTGCAAGCTGCAACTGGGGGACAGTTGCAATGTGCTCCTTGCTATCTTCTGGAGTCTGTTTCAATTCAGAAGATGTGGACCCGGCAACAGCCTCACGCGAAACTACAGAGGTAGCCAAAGTAGACAGAACAAAGTCGAAGTCGGGTTAAGGCCAGCGAGGGGATTTGGGTATTCCTCTGTTGTCTTCAATTGGCCTTTACAATAACGACCTCGACAAAACAGGGGATACATGCCACCCCTGTGAGCTTTGCAATATCTTGTAGATGTAGTCGGGTATATAACAGGTGGCAAAGTTTCTATCAAATTCATGCACTTGTCATCTACCGGTCCATGTCCCATGTCCTCCGAAGTCACGTTAGCTCCATGAAATGATGAATGGCACTTCACTTATTGCGCGGAAGCATCGATCGTAGTATCACTCCCCTTCAAAGCCCCATAACCGTGGGGGCCCTTATGCCCTGACGAAATAGAAAGAGCTGAGATGGGAGCCTTAGTGCCGTAGTGGCCTTCCAAGGCTTTCCATGAACTCCTGCAGCGCGCCTCGGCCTTGAAGAGGTGTTCCTTTCGCTAGATCCTGCTGCAAACGGCACGTTCGTCGGTCGTGCAGCAAGCAAGGGACCCGTGCTCGCAAAGCCCCCCTTCGACAGCGCTTCCGGCATGCCAAACTTGCAGATGCAGCAGCTGATGATCACAAAAGTCTTGCTAAGTTGCTGTTGACAGGCTGTTGAGCTTGGTCTGCTTGCCACGCAGCGATAAACTGCGGAGACCCCGGGGCACTTCGGCCAAGTGAGCTGTTGCTGTCTGGTTCCTGCCCCCCACTCTCGTTCTGCGCTGACCGTGCGCTGCTGCCAGTAGGGAACGATTGGACGATGAACGTCCACGCAGAGACAGCAACACCAAAACCGAGCCGCTGCAGCAGGGATTGATGAGAAGCACCATGCGGTTGGCAAGATCCAACTGAACCGGAGAGCTCGGCGATCCAACAACATCTACTTAAGGTGCAGACCGATGACACCGGCCCGCGTTCAACAATGGGTGTGTGAGACTTTGAAGGCACATGTCCAGTGTGACGATGCAGATCCAACCAGAGCATCGCTCAGAGCCGACCAACTCCAGCTGCATTCGCCTCTTTACGTGTCCTTGCCGTCCTGTTCCTCTCCGCTCCTCTCCTCTTCTCTCAAGGGCAGTAGGGCTGGCAGCTTGGGGCGCGGCTGGTGCGGTTTAGCTAGTCAGGACTGGGCCAGCAGCATGGGCGTGACCTCCTTGGTTTTGGAAGGAGAGAAGTGCGCAAGATATCTCTTTGGTGTCTCCCGTCGCCTTTGTCACAGGACAACCGAAGAAGGTGAACCACAACTTCCTGGTGCATTTCGCCGAGTCGGTGGGCCAGGAGCTGCCCCTCTACAAGGAGACCCTGGAGCTTCGCAACGAGAGCGCCTACCTGAGGACAGGTCGGTCGTTGCCGCGCCGCCACCGCCGTGGTAGGAAAGGTAGCTTTCTTTTCTGTTTGGAGGACCTGGGAGAAGCTGAGGGACTGCGAGGAGCGGCACTTCGCTGGCTTGGCTCCCTGCCGAGCGCTGCTCTCCTCGGAGCTCTTCACCGAGGCCCAGCTCCCGGCGCCCCGGCGTCGAAGAGAAGAGAGCAGCACGTGATGTGAACTGAGCCTGAGCTCCTGCTGCTCTGCTCTCCGAGGTCTGGCAAGCTCTCTTCGAGAAGCTGCCGAAGTGGGACATCAGGGTTCTGGTCTTCCATCGCTACTACCCGGCCTGGCTGCTCTCGCTCTACGGCGAGTACCAGAGGCTCCCTCTCCTGTGGCCCTTTCAGAAGAGTGCCCTTCTCCCATCTCTCTCTCACTTTCTCTCACTCACTCACTCACTCACCCTCTCTTTTTCCCCAAACAGGTACGGTTTGGGGTTCTCTCCTCAGAAGAAAGGTGGGCCGCGGTGGGTTGGATGGCTGGGCCGCGGCAAACTGGCTGGGCTCCCATGGGCTCCCTTCATGTTTCTTTTCTGGGCTCCTGGGTTGGACGGGTGGAACGCGGCGTGTTTCCTTTCTGGGCTCCTGGGTTGGAGCGGCGACGGATCTGGGCTTCCCTTCATGTTTCCTTTCTGGGCTCCTGGGTTGGACGGGTGGGCCGCGGCGAAGGACCTGGGCTCCCATTCACTTCCCTTCATGTTTCCTTTCTGGGCTCCTGGGTTTGACGGGTGGGCCGCGGCAAAGGACCTGGGCTTTATTGGGCTCCCTTCATGTTTCCTTTCTGGGCTGCTGGATTGGACCTGGACTCCCGTTGGGCTCCCTTCATGTTTCCTTGGGCCGCGGCAATCCCGTTTACCTCCCTTCATGTTTCCGTTCTGGGCTTCTGGATTGGATGGGTGGGCCGCGGCAAAGGGATTGAACTGCCAATTGGGTTTCCTTCCTGTTTCCTTTTTCGGCTAATGGGTTGGACGGGCAAGGCCGCAGCAGAGGGCCTGAGCTCCCGCTGGGTTCCCTTAATGTTTCCTTTCTGGGCGCCTGGTCTGCTACAAACAAACGTCTACAGCAGAGGCCAGGTATCCGGTATCCTGTCTTGCAAGGCAACAATGCTGTAACAGTTGTGTGCTTTTCCGTGCGTGGTTTCTGCTGCAGCAAGATCCTGTGGACGACGTTCTTCGTTCGGTTTGCGGAAATATTGTCAATGGTTCCGTGTAAGGAAAATATTTGTTTGCGATGTAAGCCGACTCCTTCGCTTTTCTTTTTGCCCTGTTTGTGCGGCAAAGTTGCCCGTCTTTCCCGTGCAACAGCCGACCGATCCGTATACTCTTTTGTGCTTCTTCCTCCACGAACGTCTACAGCAGAGGCAAGGTATCCTGTCCTTCAAAACGGCAAGGTTGTGACACTTGCGGGAAACTTGCCGCAAGATCCTGTGGACGACGCTCTTCGTTCGGTCTGCGGAAAAATCATCAATAGTTCCGTGCAAAAGAAGATTTTCGTTCGCCTTAGAAGCCGACAAACCTCTTCGCACTTCTTTTTGCCAAGTTTGCACGGCAAAGTTCCCAATTTGCTCCGTCCGACAGGCGACCGATCCGTATGCCAACCTGCTTCGTGCTTCTTCCGCAATCATCTACAGCAAAAGTCAGGTATCCTGTTTTGCAAAGCAGCAATGTTGTAACAGTTAGTTGGTCGAATACGACGTTCCCTGTCCTTGTATGGGTAACATGTCTGACTGTGTAGCTTAATGTGCCAATGACATGATCTTTGGCTCAAGTAATGAGAAAAGAGATACGCTTGCAGCTTGTGTTCCTCTTCGGGCTGGGCTTCCCTTTTGGGTTTCCTTGCTTTGCCCGGCGATCCTACCCCAATCTCGTTGTGCTGCTGTTGAGGGTCGGATTAACTCAGTTGCGGGAAAGTTGTGTGTGTGTGTGTCTCCGTGCGTGGTTTCTGCGGAAGTAAGATCCTGTGGACGAAGTTCTTCATTCGGTCTGTGGAAAGATTCGTCAGTGGTTCCGTGTAAAGAATTTATTTTGCCTTGTAAGCCGACACACCCCCTGTGCGGCGCCAAGTTTGCGCGGCAAAGTTCCCACTTTTCCCCGTGCGACAGCCAACCGATCCGTAAACCAACCTCTACAAACGTCTACAGCAGAGGCCAGGTATCCGGTATCCTGTCTTGCAAAGCAGCACTGTTGTAACAGTTGCGGGAAGGTTGTGTGTTCTTCCGTGCGTGGTTTCTTAGGCAGCAAGATCCTGTGGACGACGTTCTTCGTTTTGTCTGCGGAAAAAATCG